TTTACGCTAGTAATGTTTACGTGAAATGTTTTGAAGGAAACACAAAGCATCCACGGGACATATGTGAGTCGTCTAAACGCTACATAATGGACAATCTAGTTTACAAGATATACAAAGATAATCAAATCATCGTTTATAAATAGAGCGTAAAATTTATGAATTAATTTGTGTCTGGAAATTATTTAATAATATTCGAGAATCTTAAAATATTGGAGCTTAAATACACAAGTCTATCTTAAGTCCTATTTACGAAGTTTTTCCATTCGTACAAAATAAATACAAGTCTTCTATTCGGGTGAAAAAAGGAAAAACAGAACGCTTTTGGGAAGGGTCAGCTACTCCATAAGATCGCACAAGTGCTCAATAATCTTAGCCTTATTGAACGATGAACTGATTAAAAAGATATCTCTACAATGTTCAAACGTGGAATAGGAGTATTATTTTAAGTTAGCGGCAGTGTTGATATTATAAATCCCTTACTAGGTGGGATAGTGCCGCTATCAAGGTTATCATTTAAAGGAAAAAGATGTTGCTTAAGGAGGAATTTAGTTCTTTTCTGATGGCAAATTTCCCAATTAGGCTTTTGCGAGTTTCCTAAAAATTATAATCCGTCGCGATTGGGCGGAAGGATATGATGGGGTGGCTGAGTGTTTGCGAATGTTAAAATTTGGGTTAGAGATAACTGAATTTTTTATACCAATAGTGGAGATGAACGCTCCAGTGTCAATGTCTGCAGAAGATGAAATAGCGTGCAAAATAACCAAACTAAGTTATGAAATAAAGAGCTCTTTCAAGACATTTCGCGTCGGCTGATTGGAAGACTATTACCATCTTTAGTGGTGACAAAGATAGATTTGCTGAGTATAGGGCAGTTTCTATTTAACAAAAGCGTTATTTAAAATGCAATCATTGATTCTTTTCATAAAAAAATATATCTTGGTTGTTGGGATTTTTAAAATTGAAATCGCAAATCCACCAGGCTTGCTAAGCAGGATATGGATTTTGGAATTCGAAATTCTAATGAATTCTATAACTCAAGCTTAATAAGAGCCGAAACCATCCCGGCAATAAAATAACCGGGATTGGTTGGTTCGTCCATAAATAAGTCCCCGTTTAGAGTGTTGTCAAAATATCCAAACAATTTCTTCGAAATTCTGATTGGAGTATAAAATATTTATTGATTAATAATTTGATCGAGTTGACAAAAAAGGTAGGTAGGTAATCAAGAAATGGGAATGATGAAGGTAAAAGGTTGTGGAAAAAAAAATATTGTAAACTAATGTACACTAAAACTTTTCATATTAAAATGATATAGAGGGCAGAGCGAAGAGGGTGAATCCAAAAAGCAAACCTCGATGAAATTAGTTTGCTTAATTTTATACTACGAATTGTCGTCACAATTTCGAGGGAAGGAAGAGCTTTTGTCCGAGAACCAGGAACAAAAGCATTTTTGCGTTCCTGTTTCGGCAAAAACAACTATGTTTTGTACCCGATCTATATTTCATGCCTTTAAAAGTTACAGAAAGCGCTCGTAAAAGAGTATTTTGTAATTTTACTTGACACCAACATTCTTAGGGTCTAGCAAATTCTAAGGGTGTAATGGGTTGAGCTTTGTTTTACGATTTTTTAAGGGTCCTTTTATGCAATTTAATACCTTGATCTAATTTTTCAATTCCCTCGATATCAATTTATATAGGTTTTGTTAAAAAGTATCTGTATTGTACCGTAGCCCTGCAGGCCGGCTTGAGTCGAGTGCTTTTAATCTTTTTAAAAAAATCAGGTCTGACTAGAGTTTAAGGATAGAATAAAAATTCAGGCCAGGTCTGGCTCAAAAATAAGTAAATTTAAGCTAGACGTGGGTTAAAAAAAATTAAATTTGGAGGGCTCAAATTTGATTTAAAAGAAAATTTAAAATACCGTAAGACATGAATTGAACAATTTTTGATAATGTGGTTAAGAATATTTTGGTCTTTACAAAGCCTACAAGTGAGAAAATTTCAAACAAGCGACAATTGTAAAATGTAGGCTAGCATTAACTAGTTATTTCTGTATATAATTTTTATAAAATCTATGAGTTATAATCCATAAAGTATATCGGGCTAGGTTTTGTTTAAAGAAACGGGTCGGGAAAATTTAAAAAACTAAATTTCAACCTGGCCAGACCTAAGAATTGCTTACAAACGACATCTTATCCATAATTTAAGCAATTGCATTAAAATTGGTAGAATAATAAACCAAATAAAATAAAATTTATCGTTACAAAATTTTGCCGAGTTTAGTAACGCGATTGTTAATACATCTTTTGCTTCACCTAATAAAATTAAAGGTCAGAAAATAATTATAGAATAAATTAAATTTAAAAATGTAATTTTTTGGCATCATATAATTGTGTTAAAATATATTTTAAATAAAAGATTTATAATAGAAAGTTTAAGCTAATCTACCATGAAAATGATGCAAATTTAAGAATATCTTTAATTCGTATTTTATAAACATTAATTTAACAAAGTATACAAATGCTATATTTTAATTTGATCAATCATGTTGTAAAAAAAAAATTTGATTCCCAAAATACCCGATCCGATAGTGTTCCATCAAATTCCATTATCTCCCTGATTGGAACTAAAAGTTTTATCGTATAGTATATAATTAAAAGATATTAAAACAAATTTCTATATTTAAAGAATATATATAATCGATTTTTTAATTTGGTTAGTAAATGGTCCAAACTCGAAAAAATAGTGTCAAGCCAAGCCAAGTTTTACTACCATCAATATCATCTAAATTTTAATTTAACGTAATTTGATCTTATATTTTGTTTGAAAAAATTTATATTTTTTTGCAGAATAGAAGTTTTTTTAATACATATTTTTTATTTTTTAATTAAAAATGTACTTTTTGAGGATTTAAATAATGGTATTATATATAAAAAAAAAATTGTTAAATGTTATTGTTATCTAATATAAAAAAAAATTATATTGAATATGCAATCATTATATAGTTTTTGCAAAAAAAATTAACACTTTGAGTGTTTAATACTTATGATAAAAAAATCTAGGGTTAACCCGAGCTTATTATAACCCTTCCATAGCAACCAGTGCAAAATCATGCAGATTAATTGCTATTTATTGCTCGATTATAGTATAGGCCATTTACATGCAAACTAAGAATTAACCTCATTTTGTTCGCTGAAAATAATATTGTTTTATTATAATACGAGAACAAGTTCCGAATGAAGTGAACTGGCTATAGCTATGATTGGAAATATAATTGCACTAATTATGGTCAACTCAAGAAGATAACACAGCTGATTTATTTAAGTTCATATACGTTTTGTCAGATATAAGAAGTTATTATTAATAAAAAGATTAAAATTTACTAAATTCATTGTTAATTCTCAACCTAACCCATATCACTTAAACCTCTAATCCATATTTCTATAACCTTAAATCCTACTACTTAGTTCAGGTAATAGTTTAATTTTAAATATATATCATCAAATTAAAAAATCTTCAGTTTAGCATTATTTGAGTTGAGGTATTATCAATTGGATCAGCTATGACAGCATTGCAAGCTGTGTGTAGGCCTATTTTTATTTTAATGAGGTTGAACTGGGATTAGGGAAAGGAAATTTATTTATGATTAATGTATGTTTTTATATTTTTCAATTATCTCATGATAGGAATGCTTGTGCCTAAAAATAATTTTTAAAATATGAGACAGGAGAGAAAAAAATGTAGCAGGGCTACCAATCAACTATTAATATTTATGATCATAACCAGTCCACATTTTGGGTTAAACACGTAAATAGATACTGGGGTTTTCATTTATACCAAACAATTTCTTTCTTTCAATCAAGCCATAAATTTTTTGAGATAACATAAAATAAACATTTAGATACATACAATTGATTTTAGATAATATAAAGGAATCTACTATCATATTTAGAATATATGATTAATCAAAGATTCTGATACTACAAAATGTTGGAATGATGGATATTCATTTTAAACTACTAATAGAATTAAAAGTTTTGCATGCTAGATGCAGATGGTGATGTAGTTTTCTTGCAAGGGTCAGACAAGCATGAGAGAAGTTCAGAGATGTTGTCTATTCTAACAAATAAAAAAATCTCTCTAAAGTTAAAGGGGAAAGTTTAAGCAAGCTATGTGAGGAGTTGTTTAGTTAATCGTGGTGAAACATAGACAATGAAAGTGGAAGCCAAATTGGAAAGAACAGAGATGAGGATGATTAGATGGATGTGTGGGGTATCTCAAGAGAGAAAAACTAGAAGGAATTGTGAGCAAGAATGGGTATAGAAATGATTGGAGTGGTAATGCAAAGAAATAGACTAAGATGGTTTGGGCACAAAAGATGACTCGGTAAAGAGATGCATCTTGATAGAAGTAGGGATAGAGGAAGGCCCAAGATGAGTGGATAAAGGTTATAGCAGCGGATATGATATAAATGAATCTTTGTTGATGCCTAGGACCATCAAAAATGGAAAAGAAGAATAAGAGGGAAAACTTGCCAACCTGGATAAACTTGGAAATCATCATTAAACGTAGAAGTTGGGGAAGAAGGAGTAATAATTTTTTAACTTATTTATTTTAAATATGATGCAAAAATTTTAAACAATTTGATAATGGATAGAAATTTATATAGGAATTATCAAAATATAATTTAAAAAAATTGATTGATCACAATATAAAAAATATGTGTCTAGATAAAAATAGATATATTAAATATTTAAATATTCTTTTATATATGCATACTTACATAATAAATTAGATACAATATATTATTATAATTACCAAGCATTATTTTTAAATATTATTTTCTAGATGGGGCTAAAATATTATCATAAATAATTTTAAAACAGTTGTAAGTATTACAAGATAATCAACTGAAAACTTTATGGGCTTTATAAAAAAGCAAAAATAGTTATCAAGTAACAAAATTCTTCCAAAAATTATCAATATACATTAAATATTAATTACTGGAAAAAGGAATGGCTTTTCCCGCTTTGCTGTTTTTATTCATTTGATAAGAATTGTCAACATAAATAACTATTTGTAAATATGATTGACTCAAAATGAAAAATACTGTGTGCCTCTAATGGTTAGATCATTTGTACGTAAGAATTCTATTGTCAAGCAGACGAGATTTATTATGGATCGAATTATAAAAATGTTTAAAATCATATAAAATCATTGTGACATTCAGCTCTATTAACTAGCGCATATGCAGTGAAAACTCTATAACGTTATATATTATATCAATTTAGAAGATTGTTTCGTCGCAAAATATATGCACATTTAGTTACACAAGAAAAATAATATGAAAAAATCTAGCATTCATTTATAACAAATTGAATATATAAAAATAGAAATATTAATTATTTTATGAAATGAAAATATTATATTACAATAAATATTTCTATAAATATTGCAAGATAATTTCAAAAAATACTTACTATATTTATATTTCTGATGAAATATTTAAGTTCTTCATGTCTTTTCGTGCAATTTTTATGTTATAAATGGATTATTAATCATAATATCTAAATATCAATAGAGCATTAACAGTTGAAGCTTTATTTATTTTTATAATTTAAATTACTATATGACTCTAATTAAATAAATAAATAAGATCATTTATTAATTGAAAATTAACAAATTTAATATTGTAGTAAGCCGAGTTCAAAATTACTAATCCATTCTTAAATTAAATTACCATGCCTTTTCCTAAAATAATTTCCAAGGTCCAAAAAAAAATAAGAAATTTCTTTATAAAAAGTAAGTTGACATATAGATGATAATCTTTAATTATATTGAATTGGTTATAAAATATTAGATAAAATGTCACTTTTACAGACATAAAGTTGATAGTAATATATTACAGTTAATATTTAAATAAACTTTATTAATCAATGCTTTTGATAATAAATATAAGTAACTATTTGCATTCAATTCTTTAACGCCATCTATTTATTTTTAACAATTAGAGATCTTATTATTCATCCTACAATGGATATAACTTTTTAGATATTTTTTTTTCCTTCTCGTTTTTTTTACTTGTTTTTAGGAAAGCTATTTTTTCTTCTTTAAAAAACAGTTTATTGTTAGAATTTTATTATGTTATTATTCATATTATTACAAACTACTTTTATTTTAATACATAATATACCAACTAGGGGTGGTGTGGTGCAACAATAATATATAAAATCTTAATTGCTTACATCATATCACTCTTAGTTACTAAATTATTCATTTTTAAAAGGCATCTTTACAATGTAAATAACTCAAGTATATTTGCATAATTATTTCTTCTAAAGATCTTTATTGCTTTTATTTTATCAATTTATCTAACATAATAAATTCAAGAGTTTACATCTTAAGTGTCATGGTTATGACTACAAATTAACCAGCTGTGGCTATTATAATTTAAGATTTTTACTCCTGCTGCTGAGAGCATTCGATTTAATAATTTAGATGAGCAATAATGGTAGACTGTCTAGTCATTAAAATATCATTAAAAGTGTTCACAATAATTTTCTCTATTATTTATCTAGCTTCCATAATGTCATCTAAGAGGAAGCTCTAACCACCATATAGTTTTATGATTTGGATTAGTCGTTTATATTCTCTTCTTCAAGAATTATTGATTTGGTTAGGCCTACAAATTTTTCCTTATTAGTTCATTCTATAAAACATTGTCAAAAATGGTAACACAATGTTGCATTAGTTTTAAGCTAAAAATTAAAATGACGTGTGGTTTTCAAAAACTATTATCAATTGAGGCAATGTTTGAATTAATTAACCTTTTTTATCACTTGTAATTTTTTGAATGTTTTTTATATCCCAATCAAAACTAGTTAATATGTAATAAATGAATAAATATTTTCTATTAAAAAATATTATCTTGAGAAATGTCTTGTATTGTTTTATTTTCATTATTTAAATGCGTAATAAATGCCAAAATATGAATATCAGAATAATTATTCAGAGTTTGCAAATTTCAATTAAAAAAGTATATTATAGTTGAGCCCCCTGAGATTGTAAAGGCTGGTTACGAATATCATCTAAACCTAAATATAAATAATATTGAATTTATTTAAATATCAAATTCAAAGAAAAGTTGAATTTAGTGTATGCACAAAAGAGCGAGATATAGATCCCCATAATGACTACTATTGGCCAAACCCTATGCCACTCGACATTATAGTTTATGGGATTATCATGGGGAGAAGGGGGATGTAAAGCAAGATCGTCATTTAAATTGGGGGGGGGGTAGGTAAAAAGTTATTGAAGAGCCTATAGTCATTTGAATAAAATTAGAGGAGATAGTTTCTTTTTGGATTTCTTATTTTTAATTTTGAATAAATATATGACTAGAAGGAAATAGGTGGTCTAATAAAATTTTGTCATTAAATAAATTGCCATACACTATCTAACCCCGTGCATTGCCATTAGCTAGGTTAATAATGGAATCTGTGACATATTTCCCAACTGATTATCTGGTGTGGAATTTATGATAGGGATTACCTGTTAATTTATTAATATTTTTCTACATTGATATACCTAAAAACTTATAATATTATTAAAATATTATAATCGTATACTTTCCTATTGCTCTCCTCTTTTTGTTCCATGCCATATGCTCTTTTTGGAAAAACACTAATTAACTACTGGATTACTTTTTTGTCATACTACTTTTGCAATATAACTCCGGCTCACTAAAAAAATCCTTCAATTTGTTATTTAATTAAATTATTTTTCTGGCATCCCCTCCCTTTAAGGCCTGGCGTAATTGCCTTCCAAAAATTAAAAAATACGCTCAAATTAATTTTTTTTGAAAATTTTGGTTTTATAACATAATTTTATTGTAAATTGCAGTTTTTTTTATTGAAAAATATTGGCATATATTTTTATAATATGATATTCAAACTTTTTAATTAATCTAAAGACATTTGGTATGGGATGACCTTAGAATGATTTTGCCAATATACTACAAAAGGCATGATAATCAGATAAAATTATTAAACGCATCGTATTAAATGGGCGATATATTTTTCAGTTAGACCATTTCCAACTTTTGTGGCTATTTTATTTTGCTAAATTCTGCTTTTGTGTTGCTAATATAATTGTTTTATCTTTCAATAAAGAGGACTAAATAAATTTGTTTTGATTTAAATTTTCACAAAATTTAAAAATGATACTTCAAAACCGTTTAATTGTATATCGCTTAAGTGTAAACACTTTATAATGCGGAAAACCCCGCTATTTTGATAAAAATCTATGGCAATGTTAAATTACATTTATAATTGCAAGTTAATTACGAAATGTTGAAAAATTACGAAATTTTTCAAGTTCCATTTATATGACAATACGATAATTTAATCGGATAAGTGAAAAAATAAAAAATCCTATCGAAAAAAATTATTCGTGATTTTTTTTACATGAATTGCACCTTAACATTTTAATACAAAAATGGTAATTTACTTATACATCATAATCATTTTAAATTATTTTTAGATTAAAACATCATTTTATAAGATAAAGCTCAAGCAAAAGGGGAAAATCATTGAAAAATTAGACACTACTTCAAAAACACAATTAGCGTGAGGTTGTATATCATGTGTCCACAATTTACAGATTGGAAGCTAATAAAGCATGTATATGCTCACAATTTCTAAGGAATAAATCCCTTGCAAATAAAAGAGTTAAAATAAGAAAAACAGAAGCAGCTTTATTTGTTTGGTTTACCCAAATGTAGCAACAATTGCAATCTAAATGGACCAGTGATGTTAGACCTAGGTTTTTTTAGCCAAACATTCAATGAAAGTAATTTTTAATGAAAGTAATTTTTAGTTTTTATAATATGTAATGTTTGCAATGAAAAGGTAGTGTATTATTCATGCAAATGAGTAGAGCAAAAATACACTCCCATCTCTGATTAAAGATTATCAAAGGAGTGGTGTTTACAATTGTGATGGCACATGACTATACTACCGAGCATTACCAAAGAGCACAATGGAATTTAGTGGACTCAACTACTAGGTATCAAACTATGCAAGGAAAAGGTCTCAGTTCTATTTATCATAAATGGGGATGGATCTGATAAAAAGTTATATGTTGTAGGGAAATTTAAAAAAATTCTATGTGCTTTAAAATTAAAAAACTAGTAAAATATTACTCTAATAAAAGTAGTTGAATGAACTTTAACTTGGAGATCCTAAGAGAATGGGATTTCTCATAAATAAGGAAAATTTTATTGTTATGTGACAATGAATATTGTAACAAAAAAATTAACATTTATTAATATAAAATTATTCTTTTTTAGCGAACACCACATCTCGAATTCAACCTTTGCACATGAGTGCAATTAGGCACTTCAAATGCAGAAAGGGTATCACTAGAAAGATAATAATATTGATGGAAGAAGATGAGATCACCTCTCTTTATGACCACCTCTATCTTATAAAATTTGCATGGTGCGAGGTGACAAGTACCACTCATAAAATGCTTTATTGAAGCTAATTTTTTTTGATAAGTCTATGGCATATGATTTGGAATCGGAGGATGATATGGCACTAACTGACAATGAAGAAGATGAACTTGGCATATTTGTAGAATATGTGTTACACGATGAAGATGCTAACTCTCATGATATATTGGATGATCAGTACATTTGCAATTCGAATAAAATTATAATTGGAAACTTAAAAATCTATAATTAATCTTATTTTTTATAGAAGGTTATGAAAGCTCTGAGAATGATGAAGGGAATCTAGAGATATCTGATAATTTCATTATAAAAAATCAATTTATTAATAGTTATTATACTTTTCTTGAATGTGCTAATGATCATCTTAGGAAACAGGATTCACTAAGAAAGATAGAAAGAAAAAAGAATTATTTCCTCCAGAGTCTAAAGTCTTGTCACAAAATATTTTTTATTAAATCTTACATTATTTTATATTTGCGATGCATGTGTAATGAAATAAGTTCAAAGAATTAATAAAGTTTCATTCAGGCATGGCCTGCTAATACATTTACATATATAATATTAGAATCCATAAGTTATTTTTAGGCATGATTTTTAAAGTTGCTATTAAGTGGCCAATTAGTAGTTATAGCGGGCTATAGGTAAAGTAGCACTGGCTTGATCAAGGCATATGTAAATTTATATTTTTTATTTTAAAATATATTAGTAGATGTTTCAAATGCCTTTTCTTTTAAGAAATCAAAAGCAATGTGATTATTTGGGGTCATAGAATCATGGCTATTTGTCATTCGGAGATCTGAACTGAACTAATATTTAAGCTTTTGTAATGAAATTGAGAGTTGTGATAATGTTAGTGGTGATACTTGGTTCTGGGAGTTGATGGCAAGAATTAAAAGATAAAATTGGGAGTGTTTTATGATTTTCATGTTTTTGCTTGGGGAGTATAAAAGAGTTATAGCTATTTTTTAAATTATTGGAGTTAGTATAAGTCTAAGGATGGATTCCGAGTATGAGGTTAGGGTATCTTTAAGAATCCAGAAAATAGTTTAATTTATAGTTTGGTAGATAACTTCATCTGTCCAATAGATTATGGGGCTGGGTAAAGTAGGAATCATTGGTAAAACTAGTGGTGAGGCTTCAAGAAATTAATCAGATTATTAGGAGGCGGTGTATAGGAATTATGAATAGTTTTTAGAATTAGGCATCGTAGCTCTGGGGGACTATAGAAGTAAAATAAGCCTTCTAGTGGTGCTTATAATTATTCTTTTGTACAAGGAACAAAGTTGAGTGGACATGAATCCATAAATATCGATCTAGCAAATTTTGAATGTAATACTTGATTGAGTTAAATTTAGGCATTTGAATTAAAAAAACTTATTATGTTTCGAATTGGATCAGTCGTAAAATTAGGATGGAATACTTTATTGTGATAAGAATAGCCTGGATTTGCTTAGTAATAATTTATTTATTATTAAATCAAATTAAATCAATCAATCAATTCTTCCTTCCTTCTCTCCCTCCCCATTCTATAGTTCAAAAAAATTAATTGATAAAAAATCTCATAATTGATCATGTGCCTTTACCCATCATTCCGCCATGTTGTAACTAAGATACAGATATATATATATATATACAGATACAGAATTAAATCAATACTTTTTTATTTATTTGTGATTTTTAAATTAGAAAATAATTTTAATTAAAATAAATATTTTTTTTTTAAAAAAAAAAATCTAATATCAAATAAACATTAAAATATTTATCTAAAATTTGTGATGTGAGGTATGACAATGATCTTTTTCAATATATAAATAACTTTATAATAAATGCATTGATTATAATAAAATATTTATATGTGTGTATATATATAGCACTTTAGTATTTAGCCGACCAACACTAGGATTTATGTCAAATTGTATCGTACGTAAAAATAGTTTTGGTAGCACTATTTCACATTCATCGTCGATTTATAAATTTTGGAAAACCTATATTTCTTGGTGAGTGTCATTTATCTTTCATTTTCTGTAATCTCTGTAAATAATTATCGTAATAAATAATAATTTTAGTTTTTTGAAAGAAAAGTTATAAAAAAAATACCTGGTAATGATTTGGGGTTCTTTGGGCAAAGGTCGGTTTTTCATATTCATTTGCTTATGTAGCCTTTTAGGAAAGAGAAATTATATCCATTTTATTATAAAATTTTTCCTCCCAAAATATCTTACATTTTTCCACTTTCGCTTATAAATTTCAAGCATCTTTTATAACCATAAATATTGTCAAGAAAAAATTGCTCATAATTTTATACAAATTTAAAGGTAAAATAAGAGTTTGATTAAACCGCAAATGCCTAAACTGCCAAAGTTTATTGTATATGCTTATGTAAATTTTTTTAATATACACTATATCATTTGAAATGTGATTCATCATTAGATATATTCAATAATAAAGGAGCATACATTAATAGTTAGATTTCCTTTTATCTCGTAGTAAAACATTTTAAATTTTAATAATATTAAATCCGCAAGTTGACGTATGAATCTTACTTCAATTAATAGAGTAGATTAGCATTTGCAAAAGTGTTGACTAGTTTTGAGCCGATTTTAAAAACGGCTAACTCAGTATTTTAGCCAGAAAGTTATTGTCAAAGTCTCAAGATTTCTCTAATAGTTGTCACCTTTGTTCCTCCTACAAACTAAATCTTCAGGCTTGCGCAATGTTATTCTAGATGAAATATTGAGTTAGCCGTTTTTAAAAATCGGCTCAAAACGAGCCGTTTAACAACACTAATTTGCAGTTTACCCAGGCATTTGTAGTTTAGTCAAAGCGGTAAAATAACACATTGATGTTATAATAATACATATATTTTTTTTTCTATTATAGGGATCTCATTAATTTTTTTTGGCAATTTATCGGTGACTTAAAATTAAATATATATTAATTCGTGAATTGGGGAGTTACATTGATTTTTCCAACCATGACATCCGTTTCCAAAAATTTCCGCCTTGTTGATATCCATGATCGATGGTCTTGGTCGGATTAACTATGAGTTTTAAACTGTATTTATAAAAAAATTTTTATAAAATTGTTGATCGTTTAAAATTTTGGGTAAGGCGATAGTTTTAATAGTTTTTCCGGACATGCGCAGTAAGGTTTTGCATTTTAAATTAAAATTTATTTTTGAAATTTATAGGGTGGACATTTATGCACGTATTGGAATCCATTTCCGGCAAAATATTTAAAATAACGCGCTCAATTAATGATTCAAAAATGCAAAAAAATAATTTAGGTATATTTTTTTAAATTATTTTTTTTGCATATTAAATCATTAATTGAGGCGCGTTATTTTAAATTTAAAAATCTGATTTTTCAGGAAATGCATTCCAATAGGTGCATTTTAATTTAAAATGCAAAACCTACTGCGCATGTCGGGAAAAACCTATTAAACTATCGCCTTTACCAAATTTTGTAAAGGCATTTGAAATTCGAAATAAATTGTATTCTTTATAGGAAACCGAAGTGAAAAAAAAAATTAAAAGAATTTTTAAATTTTGTTTTTAGTTCTGAGTAGAACATACACCCTTTTTAAAAAATGATAGATTCTAACATAAGATGATGGCACCTTTAAAACACGCTTAAAGGTTAAAAATTGTATTCTATTCAGCTATCTATTAGCATTCTAATGAGATAGCGTGAGTTAGGAAGCAAAATTAAGACTCTCTCAATTTTAAATAGTTTCATATCAATTTATTTTAGCACTATATAATGAAAATTAAACATAAGAGAGTATAATCCATATAATAGACAAAGAGTATACCGAAAAAATTAGTAGATTCTTTAAAAAATAAATTAATTACTTTTCCTGACTTTGAAATTTTTTGATTTTATTGTTGAAATCTCTATTCACTGGTGCCCGATTAGCATTCCGAATCTCAGCTACATTCCAATTGGACTGAGAAGATTTCCGATTCCATTTATCGGCAGAAGGTGGACTAGAGATAATAAAATTTTTAAAATATATATATAAATGATTATCATTCAAATGTCGCGACAGATTTTGAAAAATATTTAAAAAAAATGAGGTCATTCCATGTCAAAATCAAACACCTATCAATTTCGATAAGACATGTCATATATACTCTAGTTAGATCAATAAACGAAAATTAGTACAGTTCGTTAACAAAAGGATTACTCGAGATAATGGGGATTATAAATGTAAAAATATGAGTTTTTTCCTACCTTTTCCAATGCTAAATTGAATCTAATATTAAATTATTAAAACAAAGCTCAATAATTGTGAAGGGAAAAAAAAATGAAAAATTTAAAATGAGTAATATTTTTTCCCTTAACGCTCCTTAACTATTTTACTAATTTATTTGTTGGATGTTTCAGAGCGGCTGTTTAATTTTCCTCGAAAATAATTATAAATTATATATTTAGAAATGTAGATTACATGGCGTTATTTATGAACGTTTTAAATGCAATGCAAAAAAACTTTCAAGAATTTATTTTAAAATTTAAATATTTATCTAGGAACCACCCTCAAAACAGGGCTAAAAATAAAAATCCTCTATTAAAAAAATGAAATATCGGTTCTAACAAAAGTACGAACCTTATTTTATACACTGTTTCTAGAAGATTTATTTAGCGTTCTTTTTAATAATATTAGTTTGGAACAAGAATAGGATCTTAAAAAAACAGAAATTCATTTTGGGAAAGAGGTAGAACACTTATTTGTGCTTGGGTTTCCATAACTTTTATTAGATTACAAAAAATATGAAGAAACTAATTACCGAAAATTAGCTTGAGAGTGGCACATTTGATTGGAAGCTGATGGAACATACTCCAATACACTTTCCCCTCCATCGATATACCTACAAAAAATATCATTATTTAAAATCAAGATGATAATGATTTTATTGCTTTTAATATGTGCGCCATCATGGACAAGAGAAACATTTCGCGAGAATCATTAATATATTAATCGATCAAAAAAAAATATATATAACAGGTATAGAATAAAATTAGAATCGTGGAATCAACCTCTTTTCTCTTTGTCGAGAAAACGGAGCTGAAAAATAAAATCAATTTATCTCTTGATTCGCTCGAATAAGCTTGTTGAAAAAATAGGATAAATTGCGGCCTATGAACTTGAAGTCAGAGACCTGCAGGCCCGGTCCTACCCAACCCGGCCTGACGGGCCGTATTTTAATTTTTTTAAATATACCCAAGCCAGGCAGGGTCGTGCGAATTGTATCTCTGTAGGTCTCTGCTCGAAGTTTTAAAAAGGAGTTACATTTTGTATATATTACTAATTTATTTATAAAAACTAGGAGTCTTTCCATTATCAATTTTATTTTAAAAAAAGGATTATTCCACAGTATCTAAAGTATATATAAACAAATAAATTTTGGCGATGTTATTTGTAATGCGGGATGATTATCGAAGTCTTATATTAGAAAAGAGTTATAATATTCTATGTATGCGTATTAATCGTAAGTTTTATAAATAATGTTAGAATAAAAACCTTGTTCGAATAATTAATCAACATAAATTATGATTTCTTGTGCTAGTTTTATGTAATATAATGATATTTAAACAGAATACAACTTATTTGAATTGGAATCAACTTTGCAATTACAAATTCAGGAAAACTTTATATATTTATTTTAAAAAAAATTTACAATGGGGTGGGGAAGGGGGGAAGGAAGAGCCCAACTGGCTACGCGCATGTTCCTTTGTTTAATCTTATAACGTAATTTATATTCGAAGGTCCCTTTTTAAAACATTTTGCAAGGTCATTCGAATTCAATATCATATATATAGAGTTGTTGTGATGATTTAATGAAACATATTGACGATTAAATTAAAACTCATCCATATAAAATTGTTTTCTTTGCAAAAATATATTAAAATAACAAAAGAATTTTCCATAATGCTTTTTGTCTATATTTTAATTATTTTTGCGAAGAAAATAACTTTATATATGGATGGGTTTTAATTTTGTTCGCCAATATGTTTCATTAAATCATCACAACACTGTATATCTTTCATTTAAATAAGATACGGACTATTTTAACTTTTATAGATATGATAAATTTAATATTCCCTCATCAACTTCATCGTAAATTAAGAGATTTTATCTTTGACGAGTTTTAATGACCTCAACATCATTATTATTATCGTATAAGTAGTTCATTTAAAATATTATAATTCTCGTGGGTTTATTATTATCATTATTTGTTTCAGTTGCTTACCGTTAATAGATAATTATTTTATTTTGATGTCGATTACATTGATATCAATAAAATCAATTGACATTTAATGATATGTAAATTATATTTTCCACTCCTTGCTAGAATGGGAATTTTTTCTAAAGAAATAGCAACAGTGTCTATTGAAGAAAAACCACAATTCTTTAAATTAGTGTTGTTAAACGGCTCGTTTTGAACCGATTTTTAAATACGGCTAACTCAACATTTCATCTAGAATAATATTACGCAAGCCAGAAGATTTTGTTTGTAGAAGGAACAAAGGTTTGGACATCTACTGGCGAAATCTCAAGGCTTAGGCAAATATTTTTCTGGCTAAAATACTGAGTTGGAATCAACACTACTTTTAATCATATGTTGAGTTTAATTTTATATCACACCCTCATCAATTTATTGAGGTCTAATTTAAAAGGTCTTATGCTTAATGCTTGGTTCGAAAAATTGGGCTTTAATATTTAAACCATTTGCCAGAAGATTAACAAAAGATCATATTAAAATCTGTTATTTTATTTACCTTAATCAATCGCTATTCCCAAAAAAATGTTTCTGAAATTTTATCCAACAAATTATTAAAATCTAAGCTTTAAAATGTCCTATTTATTCTGCCAATGCTAATGGACATGTCATTTTTAATAATAAAAATTATCACGCTACATCTATATTACAGAAGTGTATAAATTATTTAGCAAATCAAGATATAGGTAATAAACCTAATTAATCATAGGACGTCTCCAAAAAGTTTATATTAAAAAAAAATTTTTTTTTAAAGTGTAATAAATCATTTCAGGAACATCTCTGCTCGGCTCCACAAGGGATAAATAGGATAAACCAGCTCGAGATTAAACAATTCAATTAGATCTGTATTCTGGCTAGGAATCAAACTTGAGACCGATTGGAGTCAAACAAATTCTAAAACTATAACCCTTTCATGCACAGAGATTTAGAAGCAATAGAGAAAATGGAGAAATTTCTTATTTTTAGAATCAATTTTTTGTAAAATAAATTATGTAAAAAAAAAAACCTTTCATTGGGAACTTGGTTCAATCTAAGTTGGGAATATGGCGTATCCATTTGATTGACATATTTATCCGGATAGGATGAGTGGTATCCTTCGTTTCCTTCTCCTATATAAGAGTTTCCTTGGGGAACTATTTGTTGATGTTGGTGGCGAAAATTGTTATTATGCGTCGAAAGATCGGAATGCTTTTGCGATAGCAATCGGGCTGATTCTAGATGTAGAGGGGAAGTAAGGGGGAAATGTCGATCGCTATTAACGTTGTAATTAATGTTATTATTATAACCACAATGGGGATAATATGGGCGGGATAATCCGACTTTCCCCGATTGTTGCTCGGATGAGTGTCTATCACTCACATTATGTCGTGGTTGAACGTAAGGAAAATTCGATGTTCCTACGTTGTGTCTATCAGAATAGCAGCCTCCCGTTTGATTGTAGGAAGGGTAATAATTATGAAGGTAGGGGGGTTGATTGTACTGGGGGTGTATTAAGATAGATGGTGGGGGTCTCCCAGAGTATTCATGATTGACAAAATACCTATCTTGGTATCTGGGAATTTGATTTTCGTTCCTACACATGTAATGTCCAATGTCTTCCCTTTCAGGTTGAGAGTTGATAGAAATGCCACCAGCCGGGTATTGATATCTGAAAGTATTTTGGAAACTGAAATAAAGGGTTTGTGATAAATAAGTAAGTTGTAATTTGTAAAAGTGGGATTGGTTGTAAGAACACTCTATGACTATCCTTTTTTTTGCGATATTAATGAACAAAATGTTAGCATAAAATATTATGGCGATATTTTTATTTATTTATCTCTCATTTCGTCATACCCAGCTACTAGAGGTCTGCAAATGACAAAATTTTAAAGTCAGGCCGGGTTAGATCTTAGTTTTTATCCGGCTCGACCTGCCCAAATATGCACCTAGCCCGGTTTCAATTTTTTGTTAAGGTTGCTCGCTCCACAAGGTTATTTAAAATCGGGAAAGATATCCTATGGAAAAATAACCTGTAATAAATGAGGATTTAGATTTTAGGATTTTCTTATAGCAATAAACACAAAATGTAGGGAAAAAGGGAAATTGTATTTTAAATGGATCATAATAAATAGCCATTTAATAAGTAAAATTGTAAGCAAAATAAAACATATTTAACAAAAATCGGGTTTATTCTCTGTTAAGCGGGTCGGGTCTCTCTACTATCCGGTCCGGTCCGGTTCGGGTCGAATAAATTTTAATATAAGCCGGGCCGGGTAACGGGCATTGCAGATCTCTCCTAGCTACCTACCTTCTTCTTTATCAAAGTGTGTGTGTAATAGAATCATAAACGATGCTCGATTTACCCTCGGTCATTGTTCTCCCTCTCATAACTACCCAGCTTGCCTTCTAGAATATATTCTTCTTGAAAGGGACCTCTGTATCTTGAATTGTGTTTGTTGTGAAAATGCGTGCCATCTGCCCGTTCTCCATTTATCATGTGCCTATAAGGAGAGAACTCATTGGTTTCACGATTCATAATCGGGATCCCAGTAAAATCATTATTACTCGTAACCGCCATTTCGAATTTGTTGACGAGCTCTTTCGTGTAATGGCGATCTTTAGGAATATTCTGTAGGAGGTTCTGTGAGGAAATATGGGAAGGGGGTGAAAAAAATACCTCTTGCTGTGCAGATCTGTTCGAAACCTCGTTCACCGATTTACCGAGGCGTGGTCCGGCGATTTGTCTCTTACCGCAAGAAATATTGTTATCTTGATGACACATTTCTATGGTATCGAAATGGGTAGGCGGATACTTGTCGAGATAGCTACAATTTTCTAAGTTACCTTGGAGATGAGTTGGAGATTGGCCAGAGGCGATCAGGATATCCTTGTTAAAATCTCTGGCTTTTTTGGCAACTTCTTTATCACGATAATTGATTTTAGATTTTTCAGATTTGTCATCTTTTCGTTCTTCCGGTAAATTTTGAAGCCGGTAGGGTAAGTTTTGATCTACCAAACATATTTATTTTTTTTATACTAGTATAATATTAGATACGTAAATAAAAAAATGATGGATAAGGATAGAGAATATATTCAAGTGTCACTCACAAAAAAAAATGTAATTAAAATACGAGATATACAAGGATTACCGAGGAAAGCAGATTCAATGAATATTATTTAGGGTATCAATTATAAAGGATATCTTCATTGGTCAAAAATCAAATTTTTTATATAATATATTTGAGTCATTACTGTTGGGTTTATATTTTTGCCTAGGCTCGCTGCATTCGTGAGAATGGGACCTCCAATTTTCTTGAATGAGAACTTTATCTAATTGCCTATATTTTTGAATATCGGCTTCCATATCGTTACATAGTTGAACACTACGGTCATTCATTTAAATTTAAATAAATTCAAATTTTTATAACTTAAATAAAACATGTATCAAAATTTTCTATCACCCAATTTAAAAAAAAAAAAATCTTAAGAAATTTGTGGACAGTACGTTAAAACGATAATAAGTGAAAGACATCCAGAAAATTATTTTATACAAGTGGTCTAGTCTACCAAACCGGGAATATTTCAAATAATATCCATTAGGCTATGATTGTTATTTTTACCGTTTTGAAAACAATGGCCATGCCCGGAAGTCCCTTTGGAAAATAAACTTATTTATTTAAAAAATTAATTTATTTCCGTAATATTCTACAAACTTTTCTATAAAAATGCCCAATAATTTTTTTTTAAAGAATGAACCTATTCTCGATGGACGATTTGGAAGTAGCATCTATCACGGCGGAATCCGCTTTAGCGAAGTTACCATAACCTTTACGTATTTTGTTTTCAATCGACGCCGATTTTGGTTTTTCACAGTTGTTCCAACGATTAACGCAATCGGCCTCAAAAACGATAGGTTTTCTCCGCAATACGTCATTCGCGTCGGCGGAGTCTAACCTTTCAAAGTTATCCGTCATCATTTCTAGTCGCTTTTTCTCCTCCCCTTCCTGGTTAATGATCCCTTGCTTTTTAAGGTTTTGGTGGTGATGCTGACGAATGGGTTTTTTAGCCCGTGTGTGATGCCTGTGATGATGAAATATGGCACCGCCATTAACTCGTCCGCGTTTGTGGTGAGGGAGCGCGATCTCCAGCTTCTTCATCCGCTCTATGTCCTCGTAGATATCGGAGTCGTAGAGGTAACTGAACTGGTTGCTGATAAACTTGGAGGTTAGAGAACTGGCCGTGCTCTTTATATCACTGTCGGATCCTTGGCCAGATAAATAATTCGCATCATCCCCGTGCTCTCCCATTCCTTTTTGGCCCTGACCTCCTTGGTTTTCGGTAGATAATTTAGAATAATCTTTCCTGCCTGTATCCCTATCATCGTAGTAATTGATAGCTCTCTCTTCCGGTTTTAAGTTGGTGGTGTTAAACATTTTCCGCTTGTAATCTGGACTTGAGTAGGTGTTCTCCTCTTTTTTCAAGATCCAATTGCCGCTTTTGACAAAATATATGTTGTCGCAAGATTTTGATTGGTGAGCAGTGAGTTTGTGACGGTTGTTTAAGGGGTAAGGATTGATAGCGCGATCGTTGACGTATTTGTTTTTCGCGTCGTACTCATAATTTTTATCGCACTTTGATGGCTGACATCCTTGACTCTTACCAACACTTCGGCGGACATCTTTCTGCACCTTGTGTTCCATGGTAAATTGTTGAAAACTTTTATCATGTTCCCCGCATCTAACCTCACCAATGGAATCAAATAAATTTTCCTTCTTATTCCTTTGAACGGCTATCATCGTCTCGCGTTTGTTTTTGGATGCGGTAGTATCCGAAGATTGCTTTGAGTTGATGGAAGATGACGTTATCATCGTTCTCCTGTCGTTAAAAACAGACCTTTGATACACCGAGAATAATGTCTGGGCCCGAGTTCTCATATGATTGGCGTCTTCTGAATGACTGCTATAACCCGTGTCTTCGTTGGGACGATTTTGGTCATGCTCTTCTCGGTAATAATCCCTTGTGTGCTGAGAATCCAGTATTTTGGGCCGAAATCTATGGTCAAATTTTGGAGGATTTTTTTTAGCGATGATTCCTTTGTCCACGCATATCGAATCCACATCGTGACGTATTTCGTTCAAATGACTCGAGGATTTGTAACAATGAGTAATGCGATTGGGATATATTTCTGAGGCCTTCAGTTTCGGAATATGGTCGCTAGCTAGCACGCCGGATTTATTATCCCCATGAGGTTTGCGTTCTATTGAAGAACTCTGGGAATTGGATTCATCTTTAGCATTGGTAGATTTCGAACTCCGACCACTATCGTTCGAAGAAGAATGTATGGCTGAACATACTTCGCCTGCTTCAGCTTGACACAGTAAATTATTATCGATAAGCGAGACTTCATCTTGATGGCTAACGATCTTATTGATATCTATGCTGGACTTGTAACGAGACACATCGTTAACAATTATTTTGTTGACATCTTGGCTGGACAAAGATTTGGTTTTCAGCTTATTATTCCATTTGGATTTGTCCCTTAGTTGCCATTTTTTGGGTTTAATATTAATAGCATCTCCGCCTCCTTTGTTATCTTGTTGTTGGTCATCTTTGCCCTTCGATTTGGCCGAGTTTATGAGACGATGAAACGAGAATTTGGTTTCCAGTTTTTTGTTTAACTTATTTTCCTCGAGATCATCGATGTCATGGTTGATTTTTTTCGCGCCATCAATTTTGGTATAATCTACCATATCAACTTTATCCCTCTTTCCCGGCTTATTATCACTATGAGTGTTATTGTCTTTGTGATACGTTGGCATAAAACGTGTGAACATCTTCCATTGGGATTCCTTTGGAGCCTGGTACCGTTTATTGTCCGGCGATGGATTACAAATTGCGTTAACATTATTCGTTATTATTTCCATTTCATTGTTTATACTTGAACATTGATTTTCGTTGAACAGAGGTGAGTGTATCCTAGTGTAGGACCCTATCCTGACGTTAGGGTTGGAAAATACGTTTTGATCCTCATTCTTGGAATAGACGAAGGACTTGCTTAAGCTTATTAAGCTGAGATTCCCATCCGTATCTGTAGAAGTCCTGAAGCCAGGTTGAGATGAATCGGGACAGTTATTTACGAAGTCGTTTTTGTATTTCGTTTTTCGAAGAGCTTCAAAGTAGCGTGAACTTCCGGTAGATTGAATGGATTCTTCTTGATTAACCACGTTCTTGTTGGCGTTCATTTTGACGAGATTGCTAAAGGAATGGATGGGGGTATCTTCCGTGAGAACCTGCATACGTTCCCCTTTAAATTTGTGCGAGGAAATAATTTTCTCTTCTTTGCCAATTCTCGAGTCAAAATTTTTTGTATCATTTAACCTTTTTTGATCCTTGATTTTTTTAAACAAGAAACCACCAATGTCCTTGTTTTTGCCAGTCTTAACTGCCGATTTAGGGTATAAAACAGGTGATTCACGATGCAACATGCCCCGTTCGTTTCTAGAACCTTCGCTGCTTAAACTGTCGGGTATGTTCATACGTAATATCGGGTCGTACGATGAATCATCATGGAAATCTCTAGGTGTGCCATATCCGTTTAACGAATAATATTTGGGATTTTTTTTGACGCAACCGCTCGTTGATTTTTGATTAAGAGGGCTATCGAGGGAAGGCGAAAAATTTCCTAAATGTTCATGACGCTTGCCGATTATATTGTTGTTGTGATCCCTTATTTCATGTCTGACCGGCGAACGTATAGGTAGTACCTAGTTTTTTTGGACAAAAGTATGTTAAATTAATTTTAAGTAATTTAAAATGAAAAATTATAAAAGATTCACAATATATTTCAATAAATATTAATAAAAGTTAATTTTTATTTTAAATATATACGTCGTTATATAATATTTTACGGTATAAAAACAATTACAAGCCTTGGCCCTATTTTTTCATACGAAAAAATATGAAGAAAAATTGATATTTTCTTCGTGATAAAAATTAATCAAGATTACGGTAACCATTTCATTTCATTCCGTTAATATAAATATAAATATATATATAAAAAAAAATTAATTAATCAAAAATATCAATAAATGTGTAATAGAGAGATAGTGTATAAGTTTTAACTAAAAAAAAACCGAATCATTTATTAATTCACTTCGAATACATACATTCCTAGCGAATTAAAAAAAAGGGGGAGGGAGCAGTTTTGATTGATATATATTTATTTTTTTTGGTTTTATAGTGTTCCCTTTATTGAACACTGAGCATAATGTATTCTCCCCATTTTTTTTATACGATATAATATCTATTTTTCAAAAAAAACTTGTATAAAATAATAAGTTTTAACAATCGATATACGATTATTTAATTTTATCCAAGCGTTCCCGCTTGGGTCTGACAATTTGTACAAAAAATTTTTTCGGTCAGTTTCAAACCTTGAATAAATTATGGGCGTTCCTTCATAAAAATCGTAATGGGCTAGGAAACCACCTGTACGAAATATTATTTAGGTGCCAAAAACTTCACTAGCTTAAGATTTACTATTTCCAGTTTGACATTTTTTAAGGTGTATAATAGCGAAAAGTCAGAGGACAGGAGACGTGTCCCATCAAGACGGGACATTGGATCTTTTCTATAAGTGGCATATCATCAGAATTATTTTTCTGATATGAATGAAATCCGGAATCAGAGAAATCATTTATTTTAATAAGCAGAATGGAGTAATTATTTCCCTTTTTTCTAATTTTTTTTAAAATTAAAAAATAAATTTATTTTTTAATTTTAAAAAATTATATAATTTATTCAATATAAATCAAATTCAAAACAAAATAATATTTATATATTTATTATACTCAGATAATAAGGTATATACCTTAAGGAGTTTTTTTTCATGGAAAATCAAATCCTTTTCTTCCCTTTCCTTCCCTTCCTGCTTTCTTTCTTTTCTCTTCTCTCTCTCCCTTTTTATTCATTTTTTAAAATTAATCAATAATTTTATTTTTTAAAAAAATAAATCTTTTAATAAACTATTTATAAAATATTAAAAATTGTGTTAATAATTTTTATACCTTGTTTTAAAAGGTTAAGAAATAATGTTTCTTTTGATCAATTTTAACAAAGGAAAAAAAATAATATCTTTTAGAAAAATTAACTATTTCCTTGTAAGAAAACATTTTTAAACCTAAATTATAATTAACCTTTGCCTTTAAAATCATAAAATGACCTTTTTTTTATAAAATTACCTACCAAAACCTTCTTATTCGACTGTTCAAAACTTGAATCTCGCACACTTCTCAAACCTTAGATTGAAATAGATTGATAAGCTTATTTCCTGCGCAAAAATAAAAACATGTGCAATATAGCGTTGTTAAACTGGTAACTCGATATTTCATCCAGAATAATATTAGGCAAGTCTGAAGATTTTACTCATTGAAGGAACAAAGGTCTAGGCATATATTCTAGAAATTTCGAGGCTTAGCGCAATATTTTTCTGGCTAAAATATTGAGTTAGCCGTTTAAAAAAAAATCGACTCAAACATTTTTATGAGAAATTTTTGAAAAAAAATGTGTGCGGAAATGGCATTGATTTCAGCTGATTTCGATGTATGTTTTAACAAAATAAATTTCTGAGTTTAAGTACGCAACACTAAAAAAACCGGAAATGGGTTTAAAAATTAAAAAAATTTTTTTTAATCTTGGCATGGGCTACTTTTCACATAAAAATTATTAAAATATATTTATAATTTTATAATTGATTCTTAAAATCATATTCTTATTATTTTATTTTATTTTATTTACTTTTAAAATTTAAATTTTTATTTAAAAATATTCGACAAGGAAATTTCCCTGGAAAAATGATGATAATATGGATATTCCTTTTCCTAAATAAAATTAACACGGGATATAAATTTCTTTGTAGAATGTGCCAGAATGTTTTATCATTAAACAAAGACTAGTAATTTCAACTTGAGAAAAACATTTAAAGATAATATGTCAAACATTTAATATCAATGTGTAGCCCATTTCAATTCTTAATTTGTAAAATAAAGTTTGATTTAAAGCTGTATCTATAATAGTTTATGAGCTAGATGAGTTTACGTGAAAGTTGATTCAACTGGCCATAGACATTATTTAAGAATTGTTGTATTATAAATTAAAAATTACAATAAATAATTAATATTGACATCTCATTTTATCATCAGACTCATCTATTTAATGCTAATATTTTTTTTAAAATTATTATCTTTATTATCCGGATGAACATGGCTGCTATAGTTCGCCCTAGCTTTCAAGTTGAATTGGTCATATACTAATTTGACTCAATCCAAAGGGCAACTTGATAGACTAATGTTAACGTTAAATAATACTATACCAAACTAGGGTACCTTAGCCAGATCAAAAAGGCCACTTACTACAGAAGATTTCTTTGAAATAAATAATAAAACTATTGTAGATGATTTTTTCTTATAAACAAAATATGTAAATTCAATTTAATACTGCACTGCTCTCGAGTGCTAGTATTCAACAATTACGGCTAAGCTGATATTTTAGTATCTCGCTCTAGAATCGGGGATGACAGTAAAGAAATATTATTGAAAAGCAATAAAAAATTAAATAAATTATATATATTTGAAATTGTAGTTTCTTGAAAAATGATTTATAATGATATATTAATTGCACAAAATTATGAAATACAATTTGGTGTTATTCTTCTTGAATTTTTGACTTACGAGAAAGGTCGGAATAAAAGTCAAGATAAATAAAGTTAGGATTAAGATAATAGTCAGTCATATTTTTTATATGTGGTGATAGAGATAGGTGAAAAATATTTCAAAAAGAATTCTAAAAGTATTGTAAAAAAAAGATATTTTTTTTTGTCTTAGCCAATAGCACGATACTTTTAAAAGTAGCTTTTAAAAACACTGCTCCATAATTAGTGGTTGCTAAACGGAAACCTGAATATTTTGCTCGTAGATGGCAAAAAGGTTTGGAATTCTATCAGCGCAATCTCAAGGCTTAGGCAATATTTTTCTGGCTAAAATATGGAGTTTGCCGTTTTTAATCGTCTCAAATCGTGCCGTTAATACTACCCATAAATCATGATAATATAAGAACGGTTAATTATGTATTATTTACATTTCTTTTAAAATAATAGTAAATACAAGAATTTATTCATATTTTTGAATTCAAAGATTTAAAAATACTGAATGATAATAATGCATAATATATATTTAAAATGGGGAACTTATATTAATCATTATTATTTGGCTAATAATTAGTTTAGTAAAAATTATTTTTTTTAAAAAAACAAAAAAAAAAATTCAAAGAAAAGCGTTAAAAATTTTACCCCAAGTTATTATTTGTTAAAAAAATAAGTTTTGTTATATTTTGTTGAGCGAATCAATATTTTAACCTTTGAAAATAAAAATAAATAAATTAAATTGAATTATATTTTAAGTAAAAAATTTTTGTTGGATGCATACTTACTGGAACAAAATCTTGGGATATGGGATCTAAATCAACGAGCTTGTTATTGGAATTCGGAAAATAATCCCTTAAAGCGTAATTTAGTTCCCGATTTATAGCCTTAATTTCATCCTATTCTTTTACAATCAAGTTATAATAATAAACATTTTAAAAATTTTTTATTTACAAAGGCACTTTTCCACAAAAATTAGTTAGTTTATTGAAGGCCTGAGCCAGCCCTTTAATATAAAATTTATAAATATTATAGAGGTAGGCGCGGCCCGAACTAGCCCCACAAACCTCTAACGGGTTTTTTGGCCCCAACCCGGAAATTTTTTTTATGAAGAATGGAAAACGACACAATGTTGTTGAAATTATGACCTGTAAAAGCATTTTAAAAAATTAGGCACGGGTCTGGCCATAGAAATATTTTGAACAATTTGTACTTGCAAAATCTTTTTTCCGCCCCCCCCAACCTCCGACCTCTAGCAGACATGGTCAAACAACTGAGGTTTTTTTTTAAACAACTAAAATTTAGTAAGATTAAATAGTAAGGAGAAGGAGAAGGGAGAGGGGGTGCAAATCTAGTAAAGTGTTATATTTCCCTGAATTTGTAATAATTATTTTCAAAATATATATATCACAAAATAAAGTGGCTTAATATAATATTTTTAATTCTTATATATTTAAAAAATGTTTTTTATATTTTTAGATTAAAAAAATTAAAAAAAGAAGGTTAAAAGGTTTTAAAGCAAAATGACAAATAGCGAGGGTGGCTTTGGGACAACTGTGGAACAATTACAGAAACTGATGGAATGCAGAGGTTCCGAAGGACTCCAAGCTTTAAAATCTCAATTCGGGGGAGTGGAGGGATTGTGTCAAAAGCTTCGGACCTCTTCAATTGAAGGTTTTTCCGATTCGAAGGAGGCCCTGGCCCTAAGACAAAAAACTTTTGGTCGCAACTTAATACCCACTAAAAAACCTAAAAGCTTCATAAGACTTGCCTGGGAAGCGCTTCAAAATGTTACCCTCGTGATTCTAATAGTCGCAGCCTTGATTTCATTGGGCCTTTCTTTCTACAGACCCCCTAAGGAATTGGCAGCTGATATACCTCACGATGAAGGAGAGAATACGTCGGGGTGGATAGAGGGGACTGCCATATTGGTGTCCGTAGCCGTGGTAGTTTTGGTGACGGCCTTTAACGATTGGAGCAAAGAGAAGCAATTCCGTGGCTTGCAAAAAAAAGTTGAGCACGAGCACAAGATAGCCGTGATTCGGGCGGGGAAACCTGACGAGGTGTTCATACAAGACGTGATGGTAGGAGACGTGTGCCAAGTCAAATATGGAGATCTACTTCCCGCAGATGGCATAATATTGCAATGCACTGATCTTAAAGTGGACGAAAGCTCTTTGACTGGAGAATCCGACTTGGTCGACAAAAGTCCTGAGATGGACCCCATGCTCTTATCAGGGACGCACGTGATGGAGGGTAAAGGAAAAATGGTAGTTACCGCCGTTGGACTCAATTCTCAAAATGGGATAATTTTTGCCCTATTGGGCGCAGCTCAAGGAAGATCCACTTCGGCCAAAGATATCGGGACAGATACTTCGATAGCACCGAATGATGTGCCAACAGATAAAATAAATAAAGTTAATGTGGTTACCGAGGTGAAAGAACAGTCGGTCCTACAGACTAAATTGACTAAATTAGCCATCCAAATCGGGTATGTTGGGTTCGCGATAGCCGTTTTGACAGTATTAATATTGATAATCAAGTTCTGCGTTAAAACATACGCCATAGAAAAGAGTCCCTGGCGCCCTTACCACGCCCAATATTTCGTAAAGTTTTTCATAATTGGTGTAACCGTTTTAGTTGTAGCAATTCCAGAAGGCCTGCCTTTGGCTGTAACGCTCAGTCTAGCCTATTCGGTGAGAAAAATGATGCAAGATAATAACCTAGTCCGGCATTTGGATGCCTGCGAAACTATGGGCAACGCTACGGCCATTTGTTCTGATAAAACTGGTACTCTGACTACCAATAGAATGACAACCGTTAAGGCTTACTTGGAAGGAATTCTTTACGACAAAATTCCGCGTTTCGAACAGATGAATCCTCTGTACGGCGATTTATTGATCGACGCCATTTGCATCAACAGCGGATATACTTCACAATTGGTGAAAGATGACAAGACAAATCTTCCTGTACAAGTAGGCAATAAGACAGAATGCGCTCTCTTGGGATTCGTAGCTGACACGGGTAAAAGTTATAAAGATGTAAGAGATCTTTGGCCAGAGAATAAATTGTACAAAGTTTACACTTTCAACTCGGCGAGGAAATCGATGTCTACCATTATCAAAATACCGACTAATAATGGTGATATCGACAAACCTACTTTTAGAATATTTACGAAAGGGGCCTCTGAGATAATTCTCACGAAATGCGAATACTTCTTCTCAACCAACGGGTCCGTAGAACCATTTGCAGAGAGAGATCTCAAAAATACGATTAACAATGTTATAGAACCTATGGCCGCGGAAGGATTGAGAACGATAGGCATCGCCTACAAGGATTATATACCTAGTGGGGCTATATCAAATGACAAGGAATCTTTGAAAAATTGGGAGGAATATAAGGAAGAGCCGAATTGGGATGACGATAAAAATATATTGAAGGGTTTTACGCTCCTAGCCGTTATGGGAATACAGGATCCAGTGAGAGAAGAAGTTCCGGAAGCCATAAAAAAATGTCAGAGAGCGGGCATAACGGTTAGAATGGTGACGGGCGATAATATAAATACGGCACGTTCTATAGCAACTAAATGCGGTATATTGACCCCGAACGATCAAAATTTCCTGATTTTGGAAGGCAAAGACTTTAACTCCAGAATACGTAACACTCAAGGAGAAGTCGAACAGGCATTAGTCGATGAGATATGGCCAAGACTGAGAGTTCTAGCTCGGTCTTCCCCTCAAGACAAATATGTGCTGGTTTCGGGTATGATCGATAGCAAGCTAAGCAAGAATCAAGAAGTGGTGGCAGTAACTGGAGACGGGACTAACGATGGGCCGGCTCTTAAAAAAGCAGATGTAGGGTTTGCCATGGGTATAACGGGCACCGATGTAGCAAAAGAGGCTTCGGATATTATACTCACTGACGACAACTTTAGCAGCATAGTGAAGGCAGTAATGTGGGGCCGGAACGTTTATGACAGTATATCCAAATTCTTGCAGTTCCAACTCACAGTGAACGTAGTAGCTGTTATCGTGGCCTTCGTTGGGGCTTGCGCCCTTTCCGATAGTCCCCTGAAGGCTGTTCAGATGTTATGGGTGAACCTGATCATGGACACTCTAGCCTCCTTGGCTTTGGCTACAGAGTTACCAACGCCAGAATTGCTGGAAAGAAAGCCATACGGAAGAAACAAAGCCCTCATCTCGAGCACCATCTTGACAAACGTGATTGGCCATGCGATCTACCAACTCATCGTTATTTTCACCCTTTTATTCTCGGGCGCCCGCTTATTCGGAATTGTAAATGGAGCGAGCGTGTCGATAAATTCACCCCCAACCCAACATTTCACCATAATCTTCAACGTCTTCGTCATCATGACGTTATTCAACGAGATAAACGCCCGAAAGATTCACGGTCAGCGCAACGTTTTCAAAGGAATCTTTCATCATCCGATATTTTACGGTATATGGATATTGACATTCATTTTGCAGGTTATAATCGTGCAATTTGGAGGTAGAGCGTTTTCCACGGCTCCCTTAAGCTCTCGACAATGGATATGCTGCTTATTGTTAGGAATGGGAGAATTACTCTGGGGTCAAATTGTTATTTCCATACCCGTGAAGAAGTTATTAGCGCATTGTAAATGCGGGCGCGGCAAGGAGATCATAAAGAAAATCGATGCCAAAACCACTCCCCGTGACTACATAGGAGGACGGTACAACAACGTCGAAAGGTTGACAGGAGGTCTTTATGAAAGGAAAGTAGGGCATATCCTTTGGATAAGAGGTCTAAATAGAATTCAAACCCAATTGCACATAAAACCAAAACGTAGCAGGTGGTCCAGTATCCGATACATATCGCCTAAATTAAGCTCGAAAACCTCACTCACGAAAATAACGAAAAACGGTAGTAACCTCGAAGGACCTTCGAAATGGCCGCACGTTAATGTTCCTCAAATCAATCCCGAAAAAAGTAGAGCCCCAGTTTCTACCCTCGATAACTCTTTTACTGCCAGATCCGACAATGACAATCATATTCATCATATCGAGACACAAACACGATTATGATTTATAAATTTCTCGCATTTAATATATTTAAACGCGCTTAAATCTGTCAAACTTTTATCTTCCGATTAATAAAATTTACGATTATTTTTTCTAAATTAAACGAAACTTAAATTCATTATTCAATTTTTTATTTTTAAAAAATACCTGTAGAGTGACAAATCAATGCTAGAACAGACGTATAATATAGTATATCTTCTTTTTATTTCCTAGTATAAGAAGAGGAATGCATCAAGTTATTAAAGAAACTTTTTATTTTTTTTTAATCTCTTCTTCAAAAATCCTCATTTCCTGATATTAAAACAAAGATTTTTTTATTCTTTTATTTCTCTCTTCCGTTTCACTGCTTTTAATGCATTATTATTTTTCTTCAAAAAATGAATGCAGAAATTCGAAAGGGGTAAAAAAAAAATGTAGATAAAAGAAGGCTTCATTTTGAAACTTTTTATATGAATAAAGTAGAGTAAATTTTCGAAAAAAAAAAAATTAAATTTTTATATGAAATATTATAATTTCAAAGTTTTTATTGCATATTGGTTGTTGAATCATTTAAGGATTAATTCAATAATAAAAGAAGGAAGAAGCTGGCTGAAAGTATAACTAAATTATTACTAAAATATTGAACTCCTAATTAACTCAATAATAGACACTGGTGTTGTCAAAAGGCTCGTTTTGAGTCGATTTTTATAAAACGGCTGACTCAATATTTCGTTTCAGAAAAAATATTAGGCAAGCCTAAAGACTTTGCTCATAGAAGGAACAAAGGTTCTAGACATTATATTGTCGAAATCTCGAGACTTAGTCAATATTTTTCTGGCTAAAATATTGAGTTAATAGACACCCCTCACTCTGGATAACGTATCAGAGTTATGTCTATCTTCTGAGAACAGCCAGAATAAAACAAGTCTGATGCGAGACACTTAGACTTAGACATATAATCCCAATTATAAGTGCTCAAGATTAATTTATTTATTGGATTGAGAATTTGATTTTAAGATCTTGTTATTTATTTTGATTTTCTGATGCCCTTCACTTCCTAGAAATTACAAAATATCTGTAGAAGATTGTGTATAGAGCATCGAACAAATAATAGGAGAGTAGTCGAATCAATGCGGGAATAAAAAGGAAAGTCCTGGTTGGAGATCCAAATTCAGTCATTTAAGTTAACACGGGACTTGAAAACATCTGACAGATATTTATTTACTCATTCGCTCTAATATGGCATGTTTATTTATATGATTTAAATATTATCTAATTGGCAGGGTTGGTTTAGAAGTTATGATATATGTCAACAACCCTAAATTGGATTTTTTTAGTATCAAATTTATTCGCTGAAGCAGATTGATATTAGAAATGGGGGTTCTCAGTAAAAATCAGACTAATTTAGGGCCGCAAAATGCAACACGAAGCATCAGTGAATTATTTTAGGGAGGGGAAACTTTTGGTTTTAATCTTAAATTAGATTTTGAATAAATAAAAGATTAATTGATCTGGTCTGCCTGATTCTAACCCTAACACCGGTATGGATTAAGATCAGTTTATAATATGGATGCAGAAAAGTAAATATTTACCGATACAAGTATTTCTTAAAGTAATTACAGTTACAGTTACATCGTAAACAGTGGCGTAGGCATGGTCGGGTCTTAGAGGCTCAACCCCTTATCCCCTGGAAAATTTTTTTAAATTAAAGTTTTATAGAATGAGGAACAAAAAAAAAATTAATTCCATTTCTACTTCCACAATGATTTTTTTATTTATTTTGTCACACATAAATTTAACTGTTTAAGGTTTAAAAAAAATGAATTAAAAAGTGTTATTGTTATATTTTTTTTTAAAGTAAATGCTAATCAAAAATTAAATGTTCCAATTTGAAAAGTCAGCATTGAGTTCATTTAAGGATTCTAATCTATCATTCCTGTCCAATCAATTGCATACGATTACAATCTCGACTAACCACAAATTAAAAATATATAAAAACTTTTAAAAAAAAAATCCAGTTCGTTTTTATACGTATTAAAATTCTCTTCTATGTGAAATCGAGATGGTCTATCAACTGCTGATATGTATTCGAAGAACACATTTCTGGATAATCGTCAGCTTTGTATTCACATATGGTGTAGCTCTTCCTATAGAATTGATTGATCAGCTGACTTTTATCTAATTTATGTCTTGGGGGAGACGAGGCAGTCGAATGATTCGCTAGATTTAAAAAGATTTCTTCTTTTTTTTTAGCAGTGCCATGATTATAGGAATAATACATTTATGGCACGCAGCCTTAAATGACAAGCGCCAAAGAAAATTCCCGTTATAATTAATCGTACTTTTAAAAAGTGGCCACTTTGACCATAAAAGATTTTCGTTTTTTAACAAAAAAAAACATAAATATTTTTTAAAAAAAACAAAAAAAAACAAATACGACAATCGACACTCATATTGTTTTATGTATAATAGCACCTAATTTTTCCCTTTTCCTTTCTCAAAAGATAAAAACGATAATGATAATAAATACAAAGAAATGAACTTATAATTTTACCTTTTTTTTTTCAAAACTAACTTCAATTATGCTCTCAAAAATTAAAAAATTATACTATTTTTTTGTTTGTATTCAAACTCGGAAAAATTGATTATATTATATTATATATTATATATATATAAACTTTTGATTTTTTAATATATTATTTATTAATTTAAAATATATTATTTTGTAAATGAAAGAAAAAGAAAGAAAAAAATTTTAAGGTGAAAAAAAATAAAATTAGAAATGAAATTTTAAATAGTTTAATATATAAAATTGTCGAAAACGAGATATGTTTATATTATGTGCGTAAGTTAAAATGCCGTAGTTTTGAAAATACAAACTCGGACCCGATCCCGGATACACGGGTTTAGAAATCCGGTCTGATATATTATACCAAAAGATATGGCTTATCTATCTACAAACTCTCACTCAAAAATGTGTCAGAGTCCAAGTATTATTTCCTGGGGTTTAGGCGATTTATTATTTTTTCACTCTTTTTGAAACTTCGAAACCTTTCAAATTTCTTTTCCACTCAGTCAGATCTATTCCCCATTCCCTTTTCACATCCCCATAGAAAAAAAAAACTAGACCAAACTTCTTTGTCCCTTCACTTTTATTCACTTTATTTAGCTAATGTTTGCTTAAATATCCAAGTTTCAATCTTATTTTGTAGGCTATATTCCCCTACCCCACCTCTCGTTAATCTCCTTATTAAAACATTGAAAATGCCACAATCCCGCTTGAATGTATAAAAAAAATTGATTAACTTAACTATCTTAATAACTTCTAAACACGATAATTTCGTTAGAAATATATCCCTTTAAATATTGTGACTAACTATTATGATTGAGCTATTGCCGATTTATATATTATACTATATATAATAATAACTAAAAAAAAATTCAGTAAAAGTTTTAGCAAATTAAAATTAAACATTTATTTAATAATTAAAATTTTACCAACAAAAATGTAAGGCAAAAAAACAATTTTGAAAAATGAGGAGAAAATGAAAAATGATTCCTTCTATAAAAATCTCTTTTTTATTTAATCATCTAATGAATCTGTTTATCTATAAAAATTCATTATTTTAAAATATTTTTAATATCTCGAGAACCCTCAACTCAAAAGGGTTAGGGTCCGGTCAAAACAGGAAGGTAATACCCTATACCATTATTATTATAACTATTTACTCCACTAAGAAGATGCGTACTTTTTTTTTTATCAAAATATATATTCCACAGTCCGGCAAAAATAAAATAAATAGTAGGACTAGGACAGATATAAAACAAAATATTATATATTCTATCAAGTTAAGTACATTTGTTTATTAAGTTGTGTAAAATTTTTATTTTTAAAAAATGACTATTTTCTCCCAAGATATAACATTTACCAAACTAGAAAGGTAAAGTGGGTTTTGGTTTATATTATCATTGTTCTGATCACGGAATAAATTTTCACAAAAAAAAGATAAGTGAGAACTATGAGAAGGGGATGTCTAATCTTTGTCCTTTTTTTTTTATGATTGTGTTATAAATTTATTGTTGCACGTCTTTTATCGACGTTGGATTGTGTATAATATATAAAACTTAAATCTACAAAAATATTTTTTTAAAAATATATGTGGATAGACAAATCCCGTGAAAGCAGTCTACAAATGTTTCAGGGAAAGTTTTTCACTCTCTTTGACCTGATTGGTGGTTTATAATGGTATAACTTATGACATATTTAAATCCTAATTAGCGAATGAGAACGGGGTACCCAAAAAATAGATAAAATTTGCGGGTTTTTTGATATGGACAACAAAAATATAGCACAGCAGGGGTTGAATTGACTATCGCCTTGTAAAAAGAATTTCGATAATTTATAAAATAACTTTCAGTTTCTACCTATATAAATGTTTAATTCTTATTTTTAATACAAAATGTTATATAGAAAATCGAAAAAAAAAAAATAGGTTAAAATTACGAACATTTTATATGTATTGAATTGGTGAGACCGATTTTTTTTTAAAAATTTAAATATAGGAAGAATTATATATTTTACCTTAACTCCTCCGAAGTGTTTATCTTTGGCCGGAAGTGGAATAGCCATATTCTTGTGATCATCACCGAAATCCTCATTTCTGGGAGGGCCATCGTAATGATGGAAGGATTTATCACGTGTGTACGAGGTATGATTAGAGGAATTAGGAATAGATTCCGAATTGACATCCGAGATCGAATTCGATTTAGGACCGTTCGATAAAGATCCGGAAGTCGTACGATTTCTCGAAGCTCTGGGCATCACGACCGGCATATGCGGATAGTAATCTCGGTTATTTTGGTCGCCCTGCTTGAAATTCAAAATATTGGTATTTCGATGGTCATAGTTTTCGCATCCTTCAGAATAGTAGTTAGAATGCGAATTTCCCATTTATTTCAACCACTTCTTTATATATTTGAAAATTCTTCAAAAAAAAAAACAATGTCAATGGATTAATTTGATT